ACAGAGATCCTCAGCTGTTTGAAGATACCGCTGACTAGCATGCGTGCTGATCGCTTTGCAAGTTGTGGGAACGTCGTCCCCTGGTTCCAGACCTCGTCAATTCTTCCCTTCCCTCCCCACCTCCGGACTGGTCTCTTAATCCCCTTGAAAAAATTGTCCTATAGCCAGCGCTAAGGAGCTTTATTACAGTTTTTATGATAACGAGGGGCTGGAAAATAAAATAACAAGAACTCCGCTTTTAAGCTTGGCTAAATCTATATATTATCATTATTTCTTCTTCAATGTATCTTGACTTATTCGAGATCGCAATACATCTCTGGTTAGGTGGAATTATATTTTTGAGGTAACTAACTGTTGACGAATAATTTTGATTTTCACTCTGCTGTAGGTACGGTAGTAAGTGTTGTCCCTTTTGCAACCGTTTTTTGGTCTCTCTCCAGCGGGGAATAGATGGCGTTGTGTGACGAGACCAAACAATTCACGGCGTCCGCAGTCTGAAGTTTCCTTTTTGAAATGTCAAAACACATCTGTCTTCTAATGATCTAGTTTAAAATGAAAAGCGTCCATTTTTCATGACTTTAAAAGAAAACTTATATAGGTATGGATTTAACACTTCTCATATATCTGATTTTTAGCAAATCGTAGAAGTTCTTGAGATAACTAATTAGTTTTTTTTTCATTTAAGAATGAAATTAATCAGGTGATGCGTAACTTTCTCTTTTCGGTGACTTTCTGACACTCAAAGGTGTAATTGATCTTAACGCAACTTGATCGAGATAACCAAAGGCAGATGTTAAAAGACCGTCACAAACTGATTTATAACTGCTTTGAGTTTCATTTCTCGAACCACGGCCTTTAAACCGATTAAGTTTTAGATGTTTTCCACGTTCTGTTGTGCTCCATTAGGCTAGCCGGTACCGCTTTCACTGCTTTAAAGATCAGGATAATTGACCACTTGACATTGGTACGAGAGTGTTTTTCTAGAATAAAACAATATGCCTATTTCAAAATGCTGCAGAAAGTCTAAAGTGGCTTTTGTTAATCTGAAAAGACATATCATAACTCACTCTCTTTTTTTCCCTTTTTTTCATTTATATGCAATTGACTATTTTGAGATTACCGTTTGGTTCACCGAGGAGAGAGTAGTAAGAGTTATTCAGAGCAAGCCTTTAAGTCCTAAACATGTGTACAAATAAATGCTTCATTTGCTGTATATGATTTACTACGCATTAATAAGCATAAGGTTTCATGTCATTCGATGATGTTTGCTTAATCCGAAATCTTTTCTTTTCGTTTTTACCTCTTAGGAAATACATCTTGTTTTGAGCTTCGTGGAAAAGATTTTGGCCATTTCTATCCTGATTTCTAATTGGTAAATTGACACGTGTCCTGATTGTTTTCAATGCTATGCCGCATTGCTTCCCATTTTCACGCCTAAGAGGTTTAGCTTGGTAAGTATTTTCCATTTTCACGGAAAGCTGCAACGCCAGCCTCACGTTTTCTGGCTTCGATTAGACAGAAAGGAATTGCGTCAATCGGATATCATAGTTTTGTGACTTTGGGCTCAACTTCTAATTCCTTTATTTGACAACTGAAAATTGCCAACAGGAACCACATGTTTTCTGGAAACTACGTCTTAGTGGCGTTTGGTTGATACGGTTCTTAAAATCGGACAAGAATTTAACATCGTGCTAGCAAGTCTCTAAAGATTTGTTACACTATATTTTTGCTTCATATTCTTTTCAAGGTGATCATGCATAAAAAACCATACTCAGCACAAATAAGAGATTTAACTCAGTTGATAATGAAGTCATGTCACGTTAATACGTTGATGCGTGATCTTGTGTCGCCATTAACAATCAGTGAAGTGACTCTAAACAAAAGGTTACACTGATGTAACGCAACTGTTAAAACTTCTTTATAAAACTTGCATATATTAGCAGAGAAAAAGTCAATGAAATGGGTTTCGCAGAACAACTAACATTTAATATGATAAAGCCAAGTATGATGACAGGGAAATACTTAACGATTGTCAGAAGGAAACTTAACATCAAAAAAGAAACAAAAAACAAGGTCATACTAGGTTGTATTAGCACAAGATCCTTCACTCGAAGTTTAGAGAAAGTCTTTTCTTTCAGACTGGTCGAAGTCTTATTTTCAAGAAAACTGTTCGTTTGGACTTCAAGTTCCTGAATTTTGGGACAACTAGTTTTACAATGATTTTACATACTTTACTTTTGTAAAACTTTTGCGAAGCTCGACTGATCTCTAATGAAAGAGAAAAAGGAAAAGAGAAGGAAGGTTGTTTTCCTATTAATACTATGATGTGACACAAAACTTCGTAATCAGAAAGGGCGACACCAGAGGGCAACAACCTTCATAGTGAATAAATAGATCAGGCCTTAGGAAGGTCTTAATTAGCTAAATAAAAGAAATATCTCTGAATCCTCAGGCTGTCCTAGGGGAAACAATAGGTGAACCCAGACGACAAACATACTTCATAAAACGGCGACTGTGCGAATTGTTTGGTCTTAAATATACAGATCTGTCACATCATGAAGTTCCTCCAGAAACACAGGGTGAGTCCAATTAAGTTATTTACCGATTGCAACAGGTAGCCGAGTCGCTTTCAAATCCCTTCCTTTCTAGATCGCATTTGTAAATATTCTATTGTTATACTATTCCGAGAAAGTTCAATAAAGACCGAAACTATTGGTGACGAATATTGATTCTGTTTTCAAAAGAGATAATTGCGGATGAGGTGGAGGCTAGCTAATAAAAAAAATTATACAAACACGTGTCAAGTTGTAAACGGAAAGAAGCAGTGTGAGGTTTACTGCGGTTTATTGTCCTAGTAAGCCCTTTTTTTCTAAGCAATATCCCAGCGTCAAAAGGTACAGCCATTTTAAAACTCCTGAACAATGAAAGCTACAAGAACTAAGCTACAAATCTTTTTCGATGATAGTGTATATTGTAATCATGTAATACCCACTTGTCTGTTGGTCGAAAGTGCCTCTGCCATTGCAGTAAACCGGACACTGCTTCTTTCCGTTTACTGACTTGACATTGGTTTGTGTAAATCTTTATCAGATTTCCTCCACCAAAGGATGTCTCTCTTTTAAAAGACGAACCTATGCTTCTTACCAGTGGAATGTGACTCGATCCTGTTTTTTCGTGCGACAGCACAATTACAAATGCAATCTGGATAGAAAGAAATTGAAAATTCGGGTTAGAGAACCGCTCGAGTACCTTTTGCGGTTCTTGAGTAGGTCGGCTTCAATTAGAGGAACTTGAGATGCATTAGATGCGTAAATTTGACAACAAAAGGTTGTACAGTCACATTACGATTAGCAACTTTATTCTCTGCTTGACTGACTTCTAAGAGGCTTTTTTCTTTCACCTATTGCTTAACTTGGATTTTGCCCCCCTTTTTCTATTTCATATCGGTTGAGCTTAAAAAACGTATTACAAGAGTGTATAATTCAGTTCATGAAGTATCATGGTAACATCGCCAATTCTGTCAAAGTCTAGGAACCTAAAGTCTAAAAAAGAGACACACAAAAACGTCGACCAGTCTGAGAGGAACCTCTGTGCAAACTTCGATTGAAAGATGCGGTGAAAATAAAACTGTTTGTGTATGTTTTTTTCTGTTCTTTTTTTAAAAGTGACTTCAATTTACTTTCCATGACCAGTTAACTGACATCTTGGCATCTTATACGTGTCATTTCCCACATCATCGACCTGTTATTTATTAATATGAGGAAGATTATAAAAACGTGCTGACAACTAAGTGTTGAAACGTGACCGCATCATTCTATTGTAGAATGCTCTTCCGCAGAGTTTCCCAGGAAGACTTGGAAATGTTTAACTGTCATCGGTTTTATCCAATTAAGTAATCAGTGTCTTGCCTCATGAATATTAGTGAAGCGAAACTCAATATAGCTGAAAGAACATTCTTGATTTTTGAGATCGAAACGTTTCGATTGCTTAAAGTGGGAGTAAAGATTAACAAAGATCTTGTTAGTATGACATACATTCATTGGTAGACTTAAATCTCAAATGACGTCTATGATCTGCTTGGAACTCTATGGCGGTGAAAGCAACCGGAATTCATATCATTTTTAGGCTTAAAACCATGATCAAAATGACTATAAATTTCTAGAAGAAAGCAATTAATAGGCAAGATATTTATATTTTTCAGGTTAAAAAAAAGCCCAAAAGTACGAAAAGTTTTGAAATTATTCAAGGCTTAACGTAAGGTAACGAAAATTTGGCTTGTCCTTTCTGAAAATGTCAGATCAAGTCGTCATCAAGTATTTGATTGTGACAAATCTAACGATTTTTATAGAAGGTGTGTGTTCAACTGTTGTTAATGTAAATATGAATAAATTATCCCAACTTAAAGGAAAGTTTTCCAAAGCCTCTCTTTATAAACTAGAAAGGTTTTTTACTCTCTCTTTCGAAACAAGGTGTTTGGGTTTTTTTTTCACGAGGAAGATTAATTAAGGGCATGTATTGAATGGCCAAACCTTGATCTTTTACACGTGGAATACAAGATGAGCTAAGTAGGCAGAAAAACGTCTAAAACTAAATAAGTTTTGTGGATTTGTTCGAAAAATGAAGCTTTGAATTAGCGAGTCTTTTTACATTTTATACCAACGTGATTTAAAAGACAATAGTTAAAAAAGAATTACAATCTATCTGAAATAAACTTTTATTTAAAAAAAAAACTCAGAGAGTGCTGTTTGGAAAAAAAGGCAAGGGAGCTTCGAGAGCTGGAGACAACGCTTCTATATTGGTGTGGTGCAGCAAACCCCATCCTATCTTTCTCCAGTTGCGTAACGACGCAAGACCAACGCAAGTTCTTGCCTTTCAAATTTAGAACATAAATAATCTGGAGCTAAACCGTGCAGAGACTTATAGAACATTATAGCTCTTTGTATTTGCTGATGGGAAGCTAGGTTTTTCCATCTCATGAGCTCACACAAGTGACCAGGTGCCTTATCGACGTGACTGCTCCAATAGAGTTTGTTATCGATGGTCACTCCAAGCAATTTTGCGGTGGTGACTTGGCTAACTTTCTGAGCGCTTTCTTGGTCTTTTTCGATCTCCCTTCTAATTAAGAAAAAGGATAATCACTAGAAGTGATTTCAGATAAAACCGGTAAGCGAAGACAATGAGTGTGTGGCGACAGGAACATTTATGAGCAGAAAAATAGTACTGTGTTTGAAACCTCGTACCTCTCCTAGCCGTCCACTGCTGTTCATCCGTTGTCATAATAACCGCAACGTTTGTTGAGTCTGAGAGGTGTAAAACTTATTAAAAATTATTTTCCTTTCTATTCAGCTGCCATCACATGCCATTTTGCAGGCCAGGTCGAAGAAACATTGAGCATGAATTTGGCTCCTATTAAGAGAAACTGTGAAAACCGAACTTAAATCATGCTAAACCATTTTCATTCAGAAGAAAAAAAAAGTTTCAAGTCGTTGACTTTTGGCGTTGTTTTTGTGATTGTCATATAATGTCTCCCTTGGAATTCTAGAAAAAATTTTGTACAGGGAGATCCTTGTTATTTGGTTGATTCATTCAGTTTAAAATTGTTTTTGTTTTCCTCTCTATGTTTCGTAGACTTTGAGAATTCAATGACCTTGACCTTGCTTTAGCAAACGCTTACCAAATCTTCGGTACAGCTGGACATGTTGGAGAGATAACACCAGTGGCAATATTGAGATTTTGAGAAAAATCCTTAAATCTAATCATCGACGCTAGCGGCATGGTTTCATTTGCCTTGTCAAGACGGGCACGTAGACAGGAAATTAGGTTTTAGCAGGGGTATAAGGACTTTTAATTTCGTAAATCGCTTCAGTTCTATCTGTCTTGTATCTAGATAAGAGGTTAAGCGAAGGTTGTAGCTTAAGTTCCTCGAAGAAACAACTGTGTAATGTACGTGTATGTGCAAGGAATTCCTTCCGTCAACCACACCTTGTAAAGATTGTCAGCTTCGACATAATCTTTCGCTCTGCGCAAAAACTTTCGAAATTTCGGGAACGTAATTTCTCAGCTTTTCTCCTTGAAGCCTGTTATTAACAAATTAAGTACAATAGGAACAAAGGGGGCGATAATCCACTACCGGCCTACTGTTGATGCGATTGAGAGATGATTACTCTTGAGACACTTTGCATGAACCATATTCGATCATAATTTGTGTTAATGTTCTTCCACAAGCAAAGTTATACAAATGTGACGAGTGTTTAAGAAAACAGTAAAAAAAAAATTAGAAAGCTTTGAACGATTATGAGAAGCATCGAAACATGATTGCAATCTTTCTCAAGTAGAATCGGAAGCGATTCCTGAAAATCGAAACATTAATTTAAGTGTGGCGAAAAGTCAGATGTCTCGATTACAATCTTTTTGGTGTATGTTTTCCTTATCTATTCATTAAGATAATAAAATTGCTCTAATTGTTAATTTAAAAGTAAACACAATCTTGAAACTAATAATGCTTTAAAAACAACTTAATTTTGTCTTTGAAATGTTCCCTGTTTGTTTTCAATAAGGGTAAGGGTTAGTTTTAGGGCTAAAGTCGTCATGTGTTATCAAGGAAAACCAAAGATGTCAGAGGGTAACTCACATCTTTGTCATTAAAATACAACAATTATCAATAGAAATACGATGTCTTTTGTTTTTCAGAAGTGAAAACACAAATATATTCAGGCTAATTTGATGCCGACGTGAAAACTGTTAATTTCTTATTGTCTATCACGCAGTTACACTCATGAGCCGAAAGGAAACGTTAGCGAGAGGTCAGTCGTCCACGATTGTTGGGAAAATGCTAAACATGATTGTGGAAATTAAAAATGATGAAAATAAACGCCTTGCTAATCCATTCCGAGGGACATGCACGGCTTAACTCAAACCTTCACGGAAGCCCTTATGTTGTTTGATGTGCGCCTCGCCGCGCTGCGGTAAGTGACTTGTGCACCAGAGACAATAAATTTTCCAGACAAATGTAAAATTAAAAAGATATATTAATAAGACTATACTTGAAAACATGATTCCACGTTCATAGTAGTCAGTATTAGAAGCTGCTCTACTATTCGTGAGCTTTGCGTTTTGCCGGCCTCCGGTGTTCCGAGATCAACGTGGGCGAGGGATAATGAGCTTTTGCACTAAAGTATATATCGTAACGATGCAAAATAACCACGATAGTGAAATTTTTGGTCAAAAAAGATAAAAAACCTCAGAAACCACGTTACCCAACAATGTAAAGAGAGAAATCCGAATAGTTTTAAAAAGCGATAACCAGCCGAAGACAATAATTCTCTAAAACAGCACTTAAACTGGACGCTCACTGAATGCAAACGGGCCATCAATTCATGTGTAACGATATGAATTATTTGTTGAAGTCAGCTCTTATATAGCTTACAGTCATCGCTTCTTCCGACTAAGAACGAAAATCGCTGAAGCGCAATGGATATACAATGAGTTAAAATAGAAGTAGGGCCAAATTAGATAGAAGTACTGAACTTTAAAAGACGCGTTTGGCTCTTCAAAACAAATCTTTGGGAATTTGGGTGTGGACTTTTTCTTTGACAGTAGCTTCAAAATATTTGAACATTAATGATTAGATTGTCAGGGATTTCGGATGTATGCTTGCTTCTTCACAGCTAATCTCTCTCTGGCTTATTCTTTCCTTTTTGCCGTTGGTAATATTTGGTTATTTTGCTGCTTTATGCGTCATCGCCAAATCTGCCTCAGGTTTTGTCCTCCTATTTCTAGGACGCGCGTGAAGACATTTTCTGTATCAAAAACCGACTCCATTCCGTAAAAAATCGTCTTGATAAGCCAAAGCCATGTTTACTGACAAACGACGGGGTTCAACTAAATACCTGGACTATTAAGTCAAGCTGCCTGGTCGTGGAATTTCTGATTTACGCAGTTCGGCGACAAAAATATTGTTACAGTCGTGGTCTCAGCTAGAATTGGCAAACTTGCACAAAAATCGCACTTACTTAGTGTACTAAGTTTGTTACATTTGGTTTCACTGGCAAAAAAAAGTCAATCTATCCCATGTCAAATATCATAGACGTCATGTACCATCGTGGATTGAAAGTTAAATAGTGTTTTAATTTGTTGCGGTTTGATAAGCGAGTCAGTTTTTTTACTTGCCACGGTAATTCCGGGGAAATTGCGTAGTTGAAGACTTGTATTGAAACTCACATTTTTGAGGCGACCGTAGACATTTAAGTTTTCAATAATTATCAATAAGATTACTTTTTAAGTACGTTTTACATATTTTTTAGAATTGCCTCCCAAGCTACCATGAAGCAATTATGAGTGGTAATGAAGTCAATCCTTAAAATCCGATAATTTTATTATCCGATAATTTTATAATCCGATAATTTTAGCTAGTCTCTCACGTATCCCACGGTTGTTGTTTTCCACTCTCTCTATTATCTATGACTTTGTTTAGTACTTGTACTATTAACATCAAGGCAGCATGTTCAGTTGATCAGTCAGTCAGTTTGTAATTCAAGCGGTCAGTTGTCTTTTTTTTCTTTATCTGTTTGTCTTGTTGTGGTATTCAAAGAGTAGTTTTTATATTACCTGATGTAATATAAAAACTACTTGTTAAAGAAAATATTTAACAAATGAATGAATCATTTAGAGTCTGTTTCTACCGTAAAGTATGCCGGAAGTGTCCAGAGTAAGGAAAAGGGTCTAGACCTGATCCAGTGTCTCAAATTATTCCCTTTCTTTTGCTCTCCAGAATGCGCCATTAATTTTTAACATATTTTAGCAATGATAACAAATTGGAAGAACTTTGTGAACCAGGCATCTTTCCCCGGGATCGTATAAAGTGATGCTAAACTTCACATTTTCCATCAACCAAGTTTTGGAATTTATGAGTTAGATCTCTCCCAGATTCCACAGTAGACTTCGCTCCATCAGGTGTCATTTCCTTGTAAACAACCTGTATTTAATCACGTATTTTATCACATAGAGGGCGAAGTCCAGATAGGCAACAACCGCTCAAGGAGCCTTCTTTGTAATATTATCCTTTTTTTTCTTGTTCAATGTATCTTGACCTATTCGAGATCGCAATATATCTTTGGTTAGGGTCTATTACAGTTAAAACAGACTTTCAGCTTGCTTTTCGTTGTAAAAATACGTGGAATTTTATTTCTGAGGCAACTAACTGTTGACGAATAATTTTGATTTTCACTCTGTTATAGGAACGGCTGCAAGCTTTGTCCCTTTCGCAACCGTTATTTGGTCTCTCTCCAACGGGGAATAGATGGCGTCAAGACCAAACGATTCACAGCGTCCACAGTCACAGAATTTTCCTTTGGGAAATGTCAAAAACACTTCTGCCCTTTAATGATCTAGTTTAAATGAAAACCGTCCATTTTTCATGACTTTAAATGAAAACTTATATAGGCATAGATTTAACAATTCTCCTATGTCTGATTTTAAGCAATTTGTAGTAGTTCCTGGGATAATTAATTATAACTTTTTGCCATTGATGATGCGTAACTTTCTCTTTTCGATGACTTTCTGATACTCAAAGGCGTACACGATCTTAAAGCAACTTGTTGGAGATAACCAAAGGTAGATGTTTAAAGACCGTCACAAACATTTAAAAGTGCGTTGAGTTTCATTTCTCGAACCACGGCCTTTAAACCAAGAAAGTTTTAGATGTTTTCCACGTTTTGCTGTGCTCCACCAGGCTAGCTTATACAGCTTTCACAGCTTTAAAGATCAGGATAATTGACCACTTGACATTGGTACGAGAGTGTTCTTCTAGAAATGTCTCAGGGAGTCTAAAGCTGCTTTTGTTCATTTGAAAAGGGTACATCATAACTCGCGCTCTCTTTTTCTTTTTCTTTTTACATATATGCAATTGACTGTTTCTAGATTACCGATTGGTTCACTGTGAACAGAGTAGTAAGAGTTAGTCAGAGTAAGCCTTTTACAATCATCAATATACTTAAGTCCTTGACATGTGTCCAAATGAATGCTTCATTTGCTGTATATGATTAACTACGCATTAGTGAGCTTAAGGTTTCATGTTATTTGATCATTTTTGCTTAATCCGAAATCTTTTCAATTTCACTTTTACCTCTTAAGAAATACATCCCATTTTTAGCTTCGTAGAAAACAATTTTGGCCATTTCTATCCTGATTTAAAGTTGGCTAACTGACACATGCCTGATTGTTTGCAACCGGCTATGCCGCATTGCTTCTCAATTTCACGCGTAAGAGGTTAGCTTTCTAAGTATTTTCCATTTTAACGTAAAGCTCAGCACCTGCCTCACGTTTTCTGATGATCGATTAGACAGAAGATGATTGAGTCAATCGGATATCATACTTTTGTGGCTTTGGGCTTAACTTTTAATTCTTTTATGTAACAAAATTGCCAACAGGAACCACATGTTGTCTGAAAACTCCTTCTTAGTGGCGTTTGGTTGATACGGTTTTTAAAATCAGACGAGAATTTAACAACATTTTTAACATGGAATTTAACATGGTACAAGCAAGTCTTTAAAGATTTTCTTCACTATTTTTTTGCTTCATATTATTTTCAATACAACCATGATTGAAAAACCACACTCAACAGAAATAAGAAATTTAACTAAGTTGATAATGAAGTCATGTCACGTCAATACATTGATGTATAATCTTGTGTCGCCATTAACAATCAGTGAAGTGACTCTAAACAAAAGGTTACACTGATGTAACGCAACTAATGTTAACACTTTCTGATAAAACTTGCATATATTAACAAAGAAAAAGGTCAGTGAGACGGGTTACGCAGAACAACTAACATTTAATGTGATAGAGTGAAGTATAATAACAGGGAAATACTGAACGATTGTTAAAGGGAAACTTAATATCAAAAGAGAAATAAAAAACAAGGTTATACTAAATTGTATTAGCACAAGATCTCCCACTCGAAGTTTGGAGAGGTTATTTTTTCACACTGGCCAAAATCTTATGTAGAAAAAACTGTTTGTTTGGACTTCAAGTTCCTGAATTTTGAGACAATTGGCTATTTTACAATGATGCCACATCACGACTGAATCAAATACTTTTGTTCAACTTCTGCGAAGCTCAACTGATTTCTAATGAAAGAGAAAAAGGAAAAAAAGGAAGAATGTTTTCCTATTAATACATATAATACATATAAAGAAAAGGGCGACACCAGAGGGCAGCAACCCTCATAATGGAGAGAAAGATCAGACTTTAGGAAGGTCTTAATCAGCTAAATAAAAGAAAAAAATCCTTGAATCCTGTCACAAGTTAAACATTAAGTGAACCCAGACGACAAATGTGTTTCATGAAACGGTGACTGTGCGAATTGTTTGCTCTTAAATATACAGATCTGTCACATCACGAAGTTCCTCCAGAAACACAAAGTGAGTTCAACTAATTTATTCACCTATTATAAAAGGTTCTCCAGTTGCTCTTAAATCCCTTCCTTTCTATATCACATTTGTAAATGTTCAATTATCCGAGAACGTTCAATCAAGACCGAAACTACTGGTGACGAGTATTGGTTCTGTTTTTAAAAAGAAAAGATTGATGAGGTGGAGGCTGGCTGATAAAAAATTACACAAACATGTGTCAAGTTGTAAACGGAAAGAAGCAGTTTAAAGTTTACTGCGATAGCAGAGACACTTTTGACCAAAACACAGTGGGTATCAAATAATTTTCAAGTAGTAACAATGTCGTACTAGTAGAAAAATAAGATCAGCGCCTTCGATTATTGTTTGTTTCTCAGGGATTTCAAAATAATAATAAAATGGTGACTAGATTGCGTAATAAAATGCAAGTGACGAATTAGATTTTAATAAAAATCTTTTATTCTTTGCACACTTAAGAAATTAGATTCATCGAAAGATTCAATAATATCACTGACAAAAGAACTAAATCCACTTGATTTGGCCACTCTTTAAAAATTCAGAACTTTGTGAAATCAACATACAGTCAAGACCATCTCTCCATGAAACACCGTTTGTCTTGATTAGTTGTGGAAAGAAAATATAGATTTTCATCAGAGCAGTTGGCACTAACTCCGAGGTACAACGCCTGATTGGTACTCGAGGTGTATTTGTATGTAAATTTTCCGGCGGTATTTTTCTCTTCTTTGAATAAGAAGTCGTGGCTGGTTGTTGTATCGCACGCTGACTGTTCCTACAAAACAAAAAATTTAACATTTACTTGTAATTTTTAATGAAATAACTTCATTTGACCTGCGGATGAAAATCAAGCAATCCTCGCAAGTGAGCTGCAATTTACGCAACTGCAGAAAAGAAGCCTGAAAAAAAAAATCAAATGTCTTGTTGAAGCCTGAATCTTTTACAGTCCTCTTCTCTGCATTTGCTTATTGACACATAATTTTTCAGTTTATTTTCTTTGCTATTGTTATCAACTTTCTTATTATCATCGTAATCGTCGTCGAGATTATCATTCCATTAAAAGTTGTTTGTCGGTTATAGGTCTTGATTGAAATCTTTCCCTGTAAATGCTGGCCAGCCGGCAAAATAAAACATATTTATGAAAATTTACAACGAAGCCAAATAAGGATTTATCGGTCGACTCATCACGCAACCAATAGGATAGCGCCCGGCGTGAGAGGGCTGGATTGGAGAGTACTACCGCTCAATCAGATTGCAGGATTTGTAGAATACCGCCCGCTCATGCATAGAGAGCAAAATAATAGTATTTATTATTTTTCAATTTTTATCATAACCATAACCATAACCATAAGTTGCTTATGAGTAAGGAGCAAGAAAATAAGGAAAAGACAAGGACTTGAGCACTTGTAGTAGACCTAAACGACCAACCTAAATAGGTTCTGCTTTCCTTTTGTATAAGCAATCTAAACTCACCTCAAAAATTACGTCCGTCCCATTTATGACTTTCAACGAATATCTGATGCTTCCGTCATCAAATTGAATACACTTCTTACTTTTGTACTTCGAGATCTCAAATCCTGCAAGATAATTACCATATCAATAAAAAAAAACGAATTTGGAAGGACTTCGACAATCCACTACTGTTATCATCATCGAATCAGCTAGTCGCTGTGGAAGACGACTTTGCTTTTCGTGCAGATGATTTTTTGTAAATACATGTAAATATGTAATCCCTAGTGCTTTGTATTCTGCAAATCTGTCATCAATGCCATCATTTACACATGATATATTATACTTCTTAGTGCAAAAAGAAATATTGGAGACTTTTTAAAATTTTCCTGAGCTATATTTGTTGCTATCCTCGAGGGATCGAGCACTCAGGACAGCTTTGGCCGTCAGTTATCGTTCATGGCAGAATTGACATTGGTGTGTTTGGGAAATATCAAAGAAAGTGGCATAAGTTTTGGAGAAAGGCTCAATCAGCAAAGCTCTATAACCGTTTCTGAAATGTTGCGTCTGACACTAACTTGGTGAGCAATTTTTCAAGCGAAATCGATACCAATTCCGATCATGTTATCGTCATTTTAACAGAATTTTATATTATCATACATATTATCATATTTAGAATAAGAGAGATAGTAAGTTTTGAGCTCGGTAAAGAAAAAGAGAAAGATGGTTTTTTTGGGACAATTAGGAATTAGGAATCGAACCTCAGACCTTCGGATTCCGTGCTCTAATGCTCTACCACTCTTGTCACGCTATCGACATTGCGGATGCTAGCAGTATACAGGATGCGTTTCATATGAACTTCGTCAGGAGCCCATTACATATAAGTGATGGGCTCCTGACTTCGTGATACACCGCGCTCACCGTGGAGTCTCTGTGGCTCAGTGGTAGAGCATCGGAGCGCGGAATCCGAGGGTCTGAGATTCGATTCCTAATGAGGACTCAGAATTTTTTCCTTGTTCCACGCTCGTGACAAGACGAAAAAACATCGGTCTCTATTATCACATTATTCACGCATCTGCTAAAACTGTCATTAACGCGATATTAAGCTCGACTTTTGTCCCAACACAGCTTGGTCTCAACTGAAATATTTGTGAATGGACCAAATTTTACAACCACTGCATTGGTTTGACATAAAATGAATAAAAATTATCTTAATGGCGAGTGACTCAACGTACTCCTCCTAAATGGTACTTTAATGATAATATAGGGATTCCTTGCGAGAGGAGAGATGGGTACGGTTGTGCAAGCTGGCATCTGTGACTTAAGGAAGATTATTCCATGAGCTAAGGTAAAAGACCAAGGCGAAGAAACAAACAAGAAAAAAAAAAGTTTTGAATTTGTTTTCTCTTCACTGGAAATTTTGCGGGTTATAAAGTACTTGGATGCATATATCCGACTTTAAACCTTCAAATGATATGGAGCCTAAAATTTAATTGTTTTCTTAGTAATATTGTAGTGTCAAAAGGTACAGCCATTTTAAAACTCCTGAACAAATGAAAGCTACAAGAACTAAGCTACAAATCTTTTTCAGTGATAGTGTATATTGTAATCACGTAATACCCACTTGTCTGTTGGTCGAAAGTGCCTCTGCCATTGCAGTAAACCGGACACTGCTTCTTTCCGTTTACAACTTGACATTGGTGTGTGTAAATCTTAATCAGATTTCCTCCACTAACGCATGTCTCTCTTTTAAAAGACGAACCTATGCTTCTTACCAGTGGAATGTGGCTCGATCCTGTTTTTTCGTGTGATAGCACAATTACAAATGCAATCTGGATAGAAAGAAATTGAAAAATCCGCGTTAGAGGACCACTCGAGTACCTTTTACGGTTCTTGAGTAAGTCGGCCGCAATTAGAAGAACTTGATAATGCATTAGACGCGAAAATTTGACAACAAAAGGTTGTACAGTCACAGTACGATGAGCAACTTTATTCTCTGCTTGACTGACTTCTAAGAGGCTTTTTTCTCTCGCCTATTGCTTAACTTGGATTTTGCCCCCCCTTTTTCTATTTCATACCGATTGAGCTTAAAAAACGTATTACAAGAGTGTATAATTCAGTTCATGAAGTATCATGGTAACATCGCCAATTCTGTCAAAGTTTAAGAACCTAAAGTCAAAAAGGAGATACACAAAAACCTCGGCCAGTCTGAGAGAAAACTTCGATTGAAAGATCTGGTGAAAATAAAACTGTTTGCCTATGTGTTTTTCTGTTCTTTTTTTAAAAGTGACTTCAATTTACTTTCCATGACCTGGTAACTGACACCTTGGCATCTTACGTGTCATTTCCCAAATCATCGACTTGTTATTAGTTAATATGAGGAAGTTTATAAAAACGTGCTGACAGCTGAGTGTTGAAACGTGACCGCACCATTCTATTCTAGAATGCTCCTCCGCAGAGTTTCCCAGGAGGACTTGGAAATGTTTAACTGTCATCGGTTTTACCCAATTAGGTAATCATTATCTTGCCTAATGAATGTAAGTGATGCAAAACTCAATATAGATGAAAGAACATATATGATTTTTGAGATCGAAACGTTCCGATTGCTTAAAGTGGGAGCAAAGATTAAGAAAGATCTTGTTAGTGGGACATGCGTTCATTTGTAGACTTGAATCTGAAATCACGTCTATGATATGCTTGGAACTCTATAGCAGTGAAAGAAGAAAAGCCTCCAAAACTAAATAAGATTTGTGGATTTGTTCGAAAAATGAAGCTTTGAATTAGCGAGTCTTTTTCTATTTTATACCAACGTGATTTAAAAGACAATTGTTAAAAAGAATTACAATCTATCTGAATCCAACTTTTATTTAAAAAGCAGCTCAGAGAGGGCTGTTTGGAAAAAAAGGCAAGCGAGCTTCGAGAGCTGGAGGCAACGCTTCAATATTGGTGTGGTGCATCAAACCCCATCCTATCCTTCTCCAGATGCGTAACGATTATCGCAGACTTTGTTTCCGAAAACACCTAAAGGAGAAAGAATAACTAATTCCCCCTTTACCAATGCTTTTTTTTCTCACCCAGGAGAATTGTTACAACTACATCTGTGATAAAGTTTGCGAACTGCTACACCCTTCGATGTTAATCAGTGATTGCAAACGAACTCAGCGCCACGAATAATATTATAATTAGAGATTCAATTTTGTTACTCTATGAAAATAAAAGTCAACAAACCCTTGATTTACTTACTAAAAAAACCTTTTTGATGTCCATTGTTCTCCACCCTCAGGAATCTATTAGAGATCGTAGTACTCGCAACAAAGCTAAGTTTTGCAATAAAAATTTGAAGGCTCTACACCCGTTTTATACCATTTGAAGGGCACGTATCTTAGAAGGTCCTAATTGACTTCTCATGCCAAAAAATGTTAAGAATGGATGGTATACTCTACACACAAGACGTGTAGAGTAAAAGGGAAACCTTGAGGATAACTCACAACTAAATCGCGCCTTTCCTAATAAACTTTTATCACGCTCTAACCACTTCCTGAGTGATTTACAGTAGAGCCTCACATATTCACAGCTTCTTTATTCAGTAGTTGAATTTTGCCGAGTTTCAACTGCTTACATACCGTCATCTGCAAACTTTTTTCTATAGTTCACACAGTTTTCTAAGATAGTGCAGCTGAAAGAACGTGTACAGTTTTTTTGTTTTGTCGTATTCAAATTCAGCTACTTTTCGTGACAACTCCCTGCACACTCCTCGCACTTAGTTTAGAGCGCTTGTTCGTTGTCGGTTGGGGAAATCCGCCAATTGAATAAGTTGGCCAAATTATTTTGTTTGAAAATACGCCGCACTGAAAAACTTAACCAACATAAGAAACGACGGAACGCCTAACTAACCGATTGAATTACAGTCTTAAGCCTGCTCACTCAGAGAGTTACAAATTTTAGTCCAATATGAAGCTTCGGATTGTGGAAATAAATGGAAAAAAGACGGCAAAACAAAACGAAACAAAAAACGAAGCAACAAAAAGGAAAAAACAAGAATAAAAACAAAAGCAACAATAAAAAAAAAAAAACAAACAAACAAACGCAAAACGCTGGGATAAGCGAGAGATTAACGAAAGTAACACCCACTCTTTTTATTCAATTATGATTCGACTTAGGAGATTAAATTAATTGCCTCTTAAAAATGATTACTTCTAGCCCTGATAACGAAGGTAAAAAGACACGTAACTTGTTCTTGACAATGTTCTGTTCAATAAATTTGCAGTCCTTAAATTTCTACGATAACGGTTATTTTTGAGATCAATAACCTTTTTATCCGCAACGTAACAGCCACGATGAATGATTCGCCGGCATTCATGATTTTAGGATTCATTCGCCGCTATCCCTCTCGATATGTTATGGTGAGATCGCACGGAAGTTGTTTCCTTTGCCTTGCACGTGCGACAACATGGATTATGATCAATAACCCTTATTTCGTTCTCGAGTGGGCGATGAGAGGTTGTGTGGGTGTCATCTAGATAGATAGATAGATAATCTTTATTTTCCCACGGACAATTCATCAGCCATAAAAACATTCAAATATATAAACATGCATTAAATGGATAAGATACAATAAATGCTATACTTAAAGTACAGACCTAACTTTAGCTGCTTTCAATAACCCTTAAATAACCCAAGGGACTCTGCTTGTCTTATGTCACGAGGAAGTCTATTTGAAAGAGTGGTGCCACTAGAGCTAAAGCTATTTTTGTAATAGTTTGTGCGCGGTAAAGGAACATTTAGCTTATTCTCAGAGTCTCTTAGGTTATACGCAGTTTCTTGCCTTTCAAATTTAGAACATAAAAAATCTGGAGCTAAACCGTGCAGAGACTTATAGACCATTATGGCTCTTTTTATTTGCTGCTGGGAAGCTAGGTTTTTCCATCTCAGGAGCTCAAACAAGTGACCAGGTGTCTTATTCGTTTTATAGCCCCAATGCTAAAAGCGACTTTCTTTGTTAGTTTATCGACGTGACTGCTCCAATAAAGTTTGTTATCGATGGTCACTCCAAGTAATTTTGTGGTGGTGACTTGGCTAACTTGATTGTCATAAATTGTGATCGTCGGAGAAACTGCGAGAGTACTTAATCTCTACCTTGAACCGATGCGCATAAAATCGGTTTTAGTCATATTTAGAGTAAGTTTGTTCGCTCTCAACCGATCTGATCCGACAGGCTCAGATATTTCTGTTATTCTCCTTGATTCTCTCCAGCAGAGATATTTTAGCCATGTTTTTGTCAACTTTGCCACACACACAGGGAATTTTTTAACTATATTATCTTATTTAAGCGGGTTAATAGCATCTTTGGTTGTAATAAGTACGATATTAACATCGTTTTGGACTTTAAAACAACGCATATGCCTCGTTGTTCTAAGCAACCATAGACATATTGACATGTGCTTTAAAATCGGTCGAGTGTTAAGCATTTCTGAGCGCTTTCCTGGTCTTTTTCGATCTCCCTTCTAATAAAGAAGAAAGATAATCACTAGAAGTGATATCAGATAAAAGATGTTGCTCCGCCTTGAGATGGCAGAGGGTTTTTTCTAGGAGAGATTCCACATTTCCTAAAGGTTGAAAGATGGTGTAATTTTAAATTATTTATTTCATATATTGAAAGAACTTCTGTAGATGAGACGAAAATCTAACCATTAGAAAAAGTTAACAACTTTACATTTCAAATATTGCATTCATAACTAATGATGCTGTTGGGATAATATTAGGGACCTCAGCTAAACCGGTAAGAGTGTGTGGCGACAGGAACATGTATGAGCAGAAAAATAGTGCTGCGTTTGAAACCTCGTATCTCTCCTAGCCGTTCACTGCTGTTCATCCGTTGTCATAATAACCGCAACGTTTGTTGAGTCTGAGAAGTGTAAAACTTATTAAAAATTATTTACCTTTCTATTTAGCTGCCCTCACATGCCATTTTGCAGGCCAGGTCGAAGAAACATTGAGCATGAATTTGGTTTCTAATAAGAAAAACTTTGAAAACTGAACTTTAATCATGCTACACCATTTTCATTCATTCAGAAAAAAAAAAAAACTTTAAGCTGTTAACTTTTGGCGTTGTTTCAGTGATTGTGATTTAATGTCTCCCTTGGAATTATAGAAAATTTTTGCGCAGGGAGATCCTTGTTATTTCTTTGATTCATGCGGTTTAAAAATTGTTTTTGTTTTCCTCTTCGTGTTTGGTTCACTTTGAGAATTCAATGACTCTGACCTTGCTTTAGCAAACGCTTGCCAAAGCTTCTATAGAGCTGGGAATGTTAAGAGATAACACCGGTGGTAATTGAGATTTTGAGAAAAATCCTTTTATCTAATCATTGGCATTAGCGACACGGTTTCATTTGCCTTGCCAAGACGGGCACATGGACAGGAGATTAGGTTTAGCAGCGGTATCATGGACTTTTAATTTCGTAAATCGATTCAGTTCTATTTGTCATTTATCTAGATAAGAGGCTAGATAAGCGAAGGTTGTAACTCAAGTTGTTCCTCGAAGAAGCAACTGAGTAAGGAACGTGTATGTGCAAGGAATTCCTTCTGTCAACCACACCTTGTAAAGATCGTCATGTTTGTGAACTTTACCATAATCTTAAGCTCCGCGCAAAAACTTTCGCAATTCCGTGAACGCAATTTCTCACCTTTTCCCCTTGAAGCCTGTTATTAACAAATTAAGTACAAAAGGATCAAAGGAGAAGTAATCCATCCTTTCCCCTTGAAGCCTGTAATCAGCAAATTAAGTACAATAGGAATATAAGAGCGTTAATCCATTACCGGCCTTATTGTTGATGCAATTGAAAGATGATTACTCTTGAGACACTGTACATGAGCCATATTCGATCATAATTTGTGTTAATGTCCTTCTACAAGCAAAGTAACATAATGTGACTTGCCGCGTGTTTAAGAAAACAGTGAAAAAAAAAAAAAAAAACGGAAAGCTTTGAAAAATTATGAGAAGCATCGAAACATGATTGCATTTGTCCTAAGTAGAACCGGAAGCAATTCCTGAAAATTGAAACATCAATTTAAGTGTGGCGAAATGTCAGATATCTTGATGGGAGTTTTCATTAAAATCTCTTCAGTGTATCTATTCCTTATCTATTCATTAAGATAATAACATGGCTATGATTGTCTTGAAACTAATAGTGCTTTAAAAACAACTTAATTTTGTCCTTGAAATGTATCCTGTTTGTTTTCACTTATGCTAAGGCTAAGTTTTAGGGTTAGAGTCGTCATGTGTTATTGAGGAAAGCCAAAGATATCGAAGGGTAACTCACATCTTTGTCATTAAAATGCAACAATGATCAATAAAAATACAATGTTTTGTTTTCCCGACGTGAAGACACAAATATATTCAGGCTAATTTAATGTCGACATGAGAACTGTTAATCTCTTATTGCCTATTACGCAATTACACCCACGAGCCCAAAGGAAACGTTCGCGGGGGGATAATCGTCCAGGATTGTTGGGGAAAATTTTGAACAGGATGGTGGAAATTAAAAATTATAGTTACTTAAAAAAAGACGTTTTGCTAATCCATTCTTTGAGACATGCACGTCTTAACTCAAACCTGCAGGGAAGCCCTTATGTTGCTTGATGTGTGCCTCGCCACGCTACGGTGGGTAACGTGTGCACCAGAGACAATAACTTTTCACGACAAATGTAAAATTAAGAAGATGTATCGATAAGACTATACTTGAAAACATGATTCCTCTTCTATATTAGACAGTATTAGAAGCTGCTCCGCTGTTCGTGAGCTCCGCGTTTTGCTGACCTCCGGTGTTCCGACATTAACGTGGGCGAGGGATAATGAGCTTTTGCACAAAACGATGCAAAATATCCACGATTCATAGCGACATTTTTGGTCCAAAAAGATAAAAACCTCAGAAACCTCGTGACCCAACGAAGTAAATAAAGAAATCTGAAAAGTTTTAAAATGCCATAACCAGCCGAAGAGTTATGTACAATAATTCCCTAACAGCACGTAAACTGGACGCTTACTTAATGCAAACGGACTACAGTTCATGTGCAACGATATGAATTATTTCTTGAAGCCAGCTTTTAAATAGCTCACGGCCATAGCTTCTTCCGACGAAGAACCAAAATTACTGAAGCGCAATGGATATACAATGAGTTGAAATAGAAACAGGGCCAAATTAGACGGAATTACTGAATTCTGTAAGATACGTTTGGCTCTTCAAAACAAATCTTGATTACGTCGTAGACTTAATTTTGGGCTCGATTAGTTCAGGAGACAAAACACGAAAAAAGGAAAAGATAACGAGTGGATTGAAAATATACATATTTCAGCGAGTGACTAGGTATCTACTTTAACACTCTTCCTTGATCTGGTTTAAGCAAATCGTAGCCGTTCTTATGATAATTGTTTTCGTCATTTTAAAAATTAAATGAATCAGGTAATGCGCAACTTTCTCTGTTTGTTAACTTTAGGATACTAAGTGTTTGAAGCAATTTGATTTTAAAGGCCGTTACAAACATTTAAAAGTGCGTTGAATTTCAATTCTCGAACTATGGCCTCAAAACCAAGTCAGTTTTTGATGTTTTCAAAGTTACACTGTGCTCCACTAGGCCAGCTGATACCACTTTCACAGTTTTAAAGATCAGGAAATTACCACTTGACAGTTGGTATGACCGTGTTTTATAGAAGTAACGTGCTTGTTTCGAAATGCAATTCCACAGTCCAAAGCCACTTTTGTTCATATGGAAAGGCATATCAATTTGTTTTTTTTTACGTATATTCAAGAATATCGTAAGAGTAAGCCTTTTGATATCAGCAATACATCTAAATCCTTTACATGAATCCAAACAAACGCTTCATTTGCTGTATATGGTGAACTACGTATTACCAAGCAAAAGGTTTCATGTCATCCAATAATGTTTGCCTAATCCGAGACCTTTTCGTTTTCATTTTTACGTCTAAAGAGGTGCGTCTTGTTGTGTGCTGTCTAGAAAAATCTTGACCATTTCTGATCATGATTTAAAGTCGGTAACTGACACGTGTTCTGATTGTTCGTAATGCTATGCATTACTTCTTAGTTTCACGCTTAAGAGGTTTAGCTTACTGAGTATTATCGATTTTCACGGAAATGTGCAACACCTGCCAACTGTTGTTTAATGATCGATTAGACAGAAAATAATTGTATCAGACGGATATTGAAGCATTTTGGCTCTGGGCACAACCTTCAATTCTTTTATTTAACAAAATTGCCAACAGGAACCGCACGTTTTCTAGAAACTTCGTCTCAGTGGTGTTTGCTTGATACGGTTTGTAAACTCACACGATAATTTAACATCGTGCAAGCAAGTATTTAAAGATTTGTTTCACTATATTTTTACTTCATATTCTTTTCAAAGATAATCATGAGTGAAAAACCACACTCAGCACAAATAAGAGATTTCATGAAGTTGATAATGCAGTCATGTCACGTCAATAAGTTGATGTATTATCTTTGTGGCGCTGTTTACAATCAGTAAAGTGACTCTAAACAAAAGGTTACTCTAGTACATCGTAACTATTTCATCTTCGGGATAAAGATAACATAGATGGGAAAATATTATTGGTCTTGACTTTGATGGTCCTGAATTTTGACACAATTGGCGATTTACGATGGTGTCACATGAACTGAATAATATACTCTGCGAAGCGTAACTGATCTCTGATGAGCGAAAAAAGGAGAAAAAGAAAGAAAGGATCAGTTTCCCACCAATCATAACCATTGCAATTTCCTCAAATGTGATTGGTGCTTAAGCTGCATTTTTCCTTAAATATTCTGTAGAGTTTTGATCGGAAGGTGTAATCGAACAGTTGGCTGATACTGGACAGTTAAAGCAACCGATCATACTAAGTCCACTCAGCTAAATCCACCAATCACATAATT